GGGTGTGTGTGTGTGCGTGTGTGTGTGTGTTTGTGTGTGTGTGTGTGTGTGTGTGTGTGTGTGATGTGGACTAATGTCAGGTCATACCAAGCAGTGGTGGGATGGGGGGCAGTCCAGGAAACTGGACCATCCCGAGTAGTCGCCCCCCCAAAACTGCGCTGATGAAGATGATGACCACACCAAACACTCTCCCTCCCGGCAAACACTCATTTCCTGTGACTGACCACGCTGCACCAAAGAGCAACGCCAACATACATGCTGCGGAAGCACGTGCGCACACACGCATGCATAGAAAAACAAACCGACATGGAGAAACATACACAAACACTCATAGAGACAAATGGACACGTACACAAAGGGAAAAATAGAAACACACACAGGTGGACACAAAGACACACATACACAGACGCATACATACAGACACATGGAGAGAGAGAAACTCGTGTATATACACACACACACACACACACACACACACACACACACACACACAATCAACAACCATGCACACGTGTAGAGACACAGAGATAGACATTCAAAAAGACAAACATGCACACACAGACACACACATCAGCGGAGGGCCCAAACATGTATTGACAAATGGATTGGCTGGTTGGCACCTTTCGTGACGATCAGGCTGATGAGTCCACGCGGTCGAGGACATCTGCTTCTCAGACGGCTAAAGGACGAGGCGCAGCAGGAACACATCTGCACAAACATAAAAAGACATAATCTGTGTGTGTGTGTGTGTGTGTGTGTGTGTGTGTGTGTGTGTGTGTGTGTGTGTGTGTGTGTGTGTGCGCATGACAGACCTCACCGTGTCATCCAGCTCGTCCGTCGTCGTCACGACCGCAGAGATCTCTTTGAACCGTCCTGACCTTTACTACCACAATGCACTGTAACCGGTGTGACTTTAACACACGCACACACACGCAATCAAGTCTTGCACTTTGACCCAACTTGCATGTGCAAGTGTGTGTTTTGTAAATTCCTTCCTTGTTGTCACTCCATCCATCTTTCTCTTTTGTGTCAGTCCGTAAACACTCAGCGAAACGCAAACACACAAACGCACTCATAGACATAAAGAAAAAAAAACATGCGGGCGCGCACACACACACACACACACACACACACACACACACACACACACACACACGCTCAAAAAATCGGAGACACAAACATGTACAGACACACACATTCACATAATGTACATGCAGACAGACATACACACATTCAAACACTAAACACACGTAGTCAGAAACAATAAGTTTGAGCAGGTGTGTGTAGCTTTATTATTGAACACAAAAAAACATTTCACTTCCCTTACATGGTTCCTCACAATACAAAAGCAGGAAGTGACATCATAGGAGGATTCTCCCCCGCCCCCCTACGATATACACACACGTGATGTACAAAAAAGTGTAGAAAAATACTCTTAATAAAAGCAACTCTTCCAGACAACAGCTAACCATTAGCGACCAGGAATGTGAACGTGAAGGAATGAACAAACATCAACAAGTCACAGAATTTCTGCCTGTCGCCATAAGCGTGTTAGCTTCCTCTTTTAGCCGACGCTAGACTAGTTGCGCTAGCAACAACACCGACGGAACACAGGAATAATCACAAACATCACACGCTGTTAACCTCTACTCAACAGAAAAGCTTTTTGAGCATTTATTCCATATCCTTGATATCCAAATGAAAATCCAACTACTAGTACACCTTAAGATGGATATAAAAGATATAGAATAAATTGTGCTAGTAGGCCAAACGAGGCACTAGTAGTGAAAAAAATTCATCGCTGGTTATGAGACAGTGATTCTGCTAATGTGCCCTAGCTAATACAATGACCTTAACCTGGATATCCTGTAAGTGGCTAACGCGTTAGTGAGACTCTGTCATGTTAATATTACAGCAGCTAACATCTGAAGGCTAACGGTGTCAAATGAGTGCGTGCGGCGCCGCGTCACACCCCCCCTCAGGAACAGGAAGCCTGCACGTCAGTCAGGCAGGTACGTGCGCATGAAGATCTGCTGGCGTATCCATGGCGTGAAGTGGCTGACGTTGCTGTACACACCGGGTCCCAGCACTTTGCTGAAGCACACGCTGCCCCATGACGTCAGGCCAAACAGCGTCCAACGGCCCCCGGATGACTCTTCGCACACCAGCGGACCACCACTGTCGCCCTGGGAACGGGAGCAACACATCACGCTCGACACAGGCCGCAAGAGGGTGGAGGTCATCGAGGCTAGAGCCTAGCAAATAGGATTTGGATGCTACAATTTACAGATTTGACTTGAATTCGGAAGGTAGAGGTTTAAAGTTAGACCTTGAAGCTACAACCTAAAATCTACCACCTGGATACCTTCAAAGATACACTCTGTAAGCTACACCATTATGGCTTGACTTAGAAGCTAGAAACTAGAGGCTAGAAGCTAGGACTTGGAAGGACGACCTTGAAAACTGTAACCAAAATTGTGAGAGCAAGGAAGTGAGACTCATAGGCTAGAACTATAAGGGAGACCAAAAGTCTTGAGCCTAAAAACTAGCACTTAGAAGCTAGAGCCTAGAATCTAGATCTTGGGAGTAAGTACTCGGGAGGTAGAACTTAGAATGTCACACCTAAACATGAGAACCAACAAGCCAATGAACTTGTCAGAAGCAAGACTTTAGATTTTGATTCCAAAAGCGCCTTTCAAGGAACCCAAGACCATAAGAACTTCTAAGAGAAGCTAGAACATCAACAATTTTTAAAATCATCAGAAGCTACAATTTACAAGTAACCGCCTAGAAGCTAGGACTTGGAACCTATGATTCAAAACGTCCAGTTAGTGGCTAGAATTTGTAGGCGCGTGGAGGTTACCATGCAGGAGTCGACGGTCCCGGCCTCGTAACCGGCACAAAGCATCCTGGCAGTGATGGTCTTCATGTCGAAGTAGGACTGGCACTGGGACATGGAGATGATCCGTACCTGGCCCTCCTGCAGCTTGAATGGCACTGCGGAGGTGGTAGGGCGTGTCACACAGGAAATGGCCCGCAAAACGGAGCCGAGTAGCTAAAACGTCTCTACTCGAACTCGAACGTTACAACTTAAGAGTAAAGCCTCAACAGTTGACCTTAAAAGCTAGAAGATGAAAGTGAGACCCTAACAGTTAGAACCTACTGATCAGAACTTGATAGCAAGACTTGCAAGCTAGGACCTACTTTGTAAAAGCGACAGCCTAGAAGCTATGACTCAAAATCTAGAGTCGGGAAATGGGTGATCGGACTTACTCCTGTTGCCCATGTGACCCCATCCAGTGATGTAGCAGTAGGAGTCCGGAGTGGGAATCTGATTGGGCCCAGGCAGACACACGGGCCTCACCCATTCCGTCTCCTCCACCTGGGGGGACGTGATCCCACAATTCCTCAGCAGCTCCAAAAATATTCCCCTCACCTGCCGCTGGGATGGCTCACCTCAGAGTCCAATTCCACCACACTGATGTCGTAGTCCACCACGGCACGGTTGTAGCGTGGGTGTACAGTGATGGCCCGCACGGCACGCCTCTGGCTGTGCACGCCGGGATGGTCCAAGTTGTTGAGACCCAGGAGAACGTTCCACAGGTGGGCCTTATCTCTCCTGCGCAGGTAAGTTAGAGCTTGGGAGGTCACATTTTTAGGGTACAGCCCATCATTTCGACTTGTAAGCTCGAAAAATTAAAAGCTAGCCGCTTGAAAGTGGCACTTTAAGGCAAGAAGCTCGAAACTTGAAGCCCAAGTTAGACGCGGATAGGCTCACCCCTCGAAGCAATGAGCCACCGTCAAGGCCCACTTGGTGCCGATGAGGACGCAGCCGCACACGTGACCGCTCTGACCGCTCTGCAGAGAGCACTGCCACGGCCACGCCCCCTGTCGCGCCACGCGGCCTCCCAAAATCCTCTTCCGCCTTGAGAGATGCGCGCCAACCGCCGGGCGCAGGCCGCATTCTGGCCGAGAGACAGCAAAAAGGAAGTAGATTCGGCCCACGCCAATCCGAGGAGACCCATCAGAGGGATTGATGAATCTTACCGTCTCTGACGCAGTCGAGAGTCACTCGCTTGCCGGAATGACACGAGTGACTGACACGTACGTACACACACAAACAGAGATCCATAAAACAAAGTTACACACACGCAAACAGACACGCAGTCAGAGGTCAGACATGGAGTCTAATGTTAGCATTAGCACGTTTCCGGCCTCATCCCCCACCCAAAAAAATTCGACCTCTCTTTCAAACACACATACGGACATACACACCTCCTCTTCTCGAGTCGTGCCTGTAGAGCCAAGCCTTTGCGCTCCTCCCACTCGGGATGAACATGTAACCAGCGACGGCGGCCCGGAGGACTTCCCTGCTCGGGTACCATGGAAACGGAGGCGGGAACCCTGCGGGACACGCTGCCTGTGATGGATCGGCCGCATCACCTGGGTGTGCATGTGTGCATCTGTGTGTGTGTGTGTGTGTGTGTGTGTGTGTGTGTGTGTGTGTGTGTGTGTGTGTGTGTGTGTTACTGACCTTACCCTAGTCCCAGCTGGTCACAGGTCAGTTTGCTGAGCTGGTGGTTCCACTCATCGGCACACACGTGATAACGGTCCGCCGTCCTCAACACTGTCAGAATGGAACCTGACGACTGGCTCAGAGACACTCCACACCACAACACAACGCTCCATTCATTCATCTCACTATTTGTGTGTGTGTGCGCGTGCGTGTGTGCATGCCTTACCACAGTCCCACTCGTCGGAGGCATCGCTGCAGTGTTTCTTTCCATCACACCACAACGTCCTGTGCACGCACTCGTGGTTGTTGCATGCCAACTCATTATCTCCACACGCCGCTACCGCCCCAATAACATACACACACACACACACTGGGTTAAGTCAAAGCAGGAGCATTTGCAAGCTAGTGCGAGAATCTAAAGGCTAGAGTATTATAAGAAGGACTTGGAATCTACGAATTTGAAACTCTGTTTTGTCAACTAGTACAGAACACTGGATGTTATGTGACATCACGCCACAGGTGGGTAACGACTCACAGCAGTTGACCTCGTCAGCCAGCAGGGGGCAGTCTGGGAAGCCATCGCAGATCATACTGGTCTTGATGCAGACGCCGCTGCCTGGACATTCCCACAGAGCTCGTTCGGTGCAGCCTGCCACATACGCGCAAAGACATGTGAGCGCAGCCATCTCCACTTTTGTGTCACAAACGTTCGACGGCAGTCGCACCGCAGTGGTCTTCATCGCTGCGGTCGTCGCAGTCGGCAAGGCCGTCGCAACGCTTGCTGGCCAGGACGCAGCGTCCGGAGCGACACTTGAAGTGGCTGGGGGAGCACTCTGTTGACACAGGAAACACGGACAGGAAGTTAGCAAAAAGCGAGTCGAGTGCTGTTGTGTACACGCACGCACCGTCCACGCCAGCCTCGGGCAGAAGGCACGTCAAGTTGCCGCCCTCTTCGGGAAACTGAGCGCAGTCCGAGTCGTCGGGCCACTGCAAGCCCACGATTCCGAGCACCGACTCGCACTTCTCCTTGGCCGTGCGACACAGAGACCTGCGAAAGGGGAGACGCTGAGTACCGTATCGGCCCGAATATAAGACGGCCCTGATTATAAGACGACCCCCTCTTTTTCAAGACTCAAGTTTGAAAAAAGACTTTTTGAACACCAAATTAATTTTTATACAGAAAATAATTACAGTACATCGGAAACAAATGATTAAAACAATATATTTGAGAGAAAAAGCATGTTATTTTGCCTCATTCAAATCTAAAGTGCAATCACATTCGTCAATGAATGGCTTCTGGTTTTTGAAATGTAAATTACATCATAACTTCTCCTCAGCTGCCGGTTAACCTGGCTGATCTTCGACCCACTTTTCTCCAGATTGTCACTACGTTTCTCCATTTTCTGTTATCTCTTCTATTATTTTCTTCTTTTCCTTCTTACCGCTATTTTTTATTTTTCTTCTTCGTGCTACCGCTATTTTTAGTTTTATTCTTCGTGGCAGGGGTTCACTTTGGCCTGGGGAGTCAAGTTCAGCATTCGCTTCAATGATATCTGGCGCCATCTAGCGTCGTGAATGGGTATAATGTCTAGACCCCGAATATAAGACGACCCCCACTTTTTCAGTCTTATTTCAATGCAGAAAACAGCGTCTTATATTCGGGCCAATACGGTAATCACACAGCAGAGACGCTCCCATCACACACTGATAACAATGGTTTGCTCGTCCAGTCACCCGTCACCCTGTCCCGTCTTGTCCTATTTTCAACTTGTTGCGCTGTCTTCACATCGTGCAGCGTTGCTTCGCTCACTATTGTCGTCCTGTCCTGTTCTGTTTTATTTGAGGAGGATATCCAATGACTCCACGAGCAAGGAACGGACAGGTTAGACGCACACTCACCTGCAGGGTGGCACGGTGCTCAGGCTGAGTGGGTCACACTTGGGTACGAGCAGCGTGCAGGCGTAGAACATGAGGTACTGGTAGCAGCCCGTCTGGACCAGCGCCGGGAAGAGCGACGACTCCCACGACACCGAGCTCTCCCGCTGCGACACGTGACCCAGGAAGTTGGGGAAGCGCGTGTGGTTGTAAGGCAGGTTCATGCACAGCTCCAAGCTGATTGGCTCACAGCCGGCTGACACGCCCACAGGAGGAGGAGGGGGTCAAAAGAATTGCAAAGACAGTTTGGGAACTGGAATAAAAATAGGGACCTTGACCATCGACCCATATGTCAAAGGCTTACTGCAGTTGTGGTGTCGCGAGTCACAGGACGTGGACGTGCAGCCCGGTTGAGTCGGGGGGCACGCAGTGTGAGCTGCAACACACACACACACACACACACACACACACACACACACACACACACACACACACACACACACACACACACACACACACACACACACAAGCATGCACAGATAGTCAGACACACACACATACACACACAAAGGCAGCCTGTTGCCAGGTGGATGTCTCACGCTGCTCGCGCATGCAAAGTTCTTCGTCGCTGCCGTCCTTGCAGTCGTCCTCGCCATCACAGCGGAACGCCGGAGGAATACACTGGGCGTTACGGCATTCCCAAAGACCCTGGCTCCGACATGCTGCACGCACACACACACACAAACATACCAACACACACACACCAACACACACACACACAGGTGAGTCCTTCCTGTGATTTGAGCGGCGGGGCCATCGTCACCATGGCAACTCACAGCAGTTGAGCTCATCACTCTTGTCGACACAATCGTGGTCGCCGTCACAAAGCCAATCCCTTGACACGCAGCGGCCGTCACCACAGCGATGCTCCCGCGTCGCGTCGCACACTTCCAGATAACAGTCGGTTAGCCTAGCCTAGCCTAGCCTTGCCTAGCGTCGAGGTTCTCAAAATTTTCCGCCCAATATGGAGAGAAATTTTTCAAAAGACCATCTCAAAATCCTAACGTATAAACCGCAAATAATTCTTTCAATGGCAATACAGAATTGTATTTTGCAAACTGTCTCTGGCTAAGGGCCATTTGAGAAGTACAATTTCATGTGTGTGCTCTCACCACAGTTGAGCTCATCGCTGAGGTCTCCGCAGTCGTCGTAGCCGTCGCACAGCAGAAGCGGCGGCAGACAGCGGCCCGTCTGGCAGCGGAACTGCGCATCTGAACACACTGAATGATGATGTCATCAATTGTGATGATGTCACGGCATCACTGAGATTTAACTTTCAAACGTGCACGCATGCGTGCGTGCTTACCGCAGTGTGCCTCGTCGCTCCAGTCGTCGCAGTCGTTTTGGCCATTGCACACCAGCTTCTGAGGGACACAAATCCCCGTGGCACACAGAAAGTTTTCCTTCCCGCCGCATGCAGCTGTTGGCCAATCAGAGAGTAGCGCATGACACCACCAAACAGGCTGGGACAATGTCCTGTTCCACCCTGCCCTATTTGTGTCTTGTTGAGTCCCTTTCTTATATCAACAGAAAGCACCACTTGGTATCTCCAAAAATGTTATAACAATGTCCTGTCCTTTTCCATCCCGTCCTGCTCTGTCCAACCCACTCCTTTAACTGTCCCGTCTCAGTCCATCCTGTTCTATTTGCTACTTGTTTTGTCTCTTTCTTATGTGGTCGGCCAATCAGAGAGCACCGCTTGACTTAACCAAAATGAGACCGTCCTGTCCTTTATTGTCCTTGACTGTCCTGTCCTACTAGTCCCATCCTGGCCTATTTGGCAGACTAGTCAAAAGGCATGCCACTCACATGGTTTGCCCACAGCTTGTCGGGGTGTGTAGCAGGCCGGGGGCACTCCGGACGATGAGGTGGCCTGGCTGAACTGCGAGCAACGCAGGAAGTCGGGCCAAGAGGCGTTGAACATCTGCAGGACGGGCTCGCAACCTTCCCTGGCCGCCTCGCAGAAGGACGCACACGGCAACACCACCCACCTGCAAGCAAGCAGGTGGGCGAAGATTCTGGGATGTGGCGAGCGGAGCGCCCCGCGACTACCTGTGCTGAGTGGCGTCGTCGTGGAAACACTGCGGCAGGGCCAGAGAGCAGCCGAACAGCATGATGTGCTTGTAGCAGGACAGTCTGCTCAAGTAGCTGAAGAACCTACAACACACACCACGTCACTTCCCCAACGCACGTTTCCCATCGCTTCCACACTCCCCGAGCTCCGCCCATCATTACCTTAGCAACATGTCCACCTCAGAGCTCTTCACCACAGCAGCGGTGGAGGACAGCCATGTTTGGTTGTATGGCAACATGTGACACTGAGGCTCCACCAGTGGCTGGCAACCACCTGCACACATTTAGGATTAAAAAAAAAATCACACAGTATTGTATTTTGAAAAAACATATTACAATAAGAATGCGGAGATGAAACAATTTGTGAATCATGATATCAGTTTTTAATTCACAGAGCATTGTGTAGACCACTAGTATAATACAACTGATATAGATAGTTTAGATGGAGAAACAAAGAAAACGAAGCTGTAGTTATGTTTGTCCTTCTTCCCAGAGGATAAAGAATATGTATGTCTGTGAGCATTCTTACATGTGTCTATATGTGTTGCTGCACCATTGGTACTCAATATCTAAACACACACACACACACACACACACACACACACACATATATACAATTACCTGTGTCTGATGCAGAGGTGGCGCCAGTCAGCCAGGTAGGACTCAGCGAGGGGACAGACGTCAGAAAATCGGTGGCCGTCGTGATTGGTGGAGTGGGCGGGGCCTGAGATGCATCCACCGAGAGGGAGGGGATTGTCCTGTTCCCACAGTAACCGTGCTCCCTGTCAGCTATCAGCTCTGGAGAAGGAAGGGGGCTGGAGTCTGAGACATGGCCGCCAATCATACCTGAGGAAAAAAAAATGTTTCACAACTTCTGTGTACGTGCGTGTGTGTGTGTGTGTGTGTGTGTGTGTGTGTGTATGTGTGTGTGTGTTGTGTGTGTGTGTGCGTATGCGTGTGGGTGCGCGTGTGTGAGTGTGCTCGCCCAAGGAGCTTTTTGATTGGTTCACTTAAAATACACAAGCGTGCTCGTCTATGAATAGTGTCGGAGAGATCAGGTTACCATGGCGACCCCGGTTACATGTCTTTCTCACTCACAGACTCAACTGTCGGCTAATAATAACAATCATTCGGGAAGGTTGGGGCGTGGGGGGCCTCCGCCACAAGTGCCAGCCGGGGTTAGTTTGCAACACTAAAGCGGGAGTGTTTGTGTGCTTGTCCCACTTTCAAGGTTGTTTCAAGGTCGCCGGTAAAAGAATCACAAACATACGCACTCGTTGATAGCTTGGACAAAATGAAGATGCTGAAAAGGTGACAAGATGTTTTATGGCACTCGTAAATATTTGACATTCCTCCACACTTTGCATGCTCCTGAATGGCGGACACCTCGTGGTTGTCATGACAACACCTCACACACACTCTTTGTGTCAAACCAACATTTCAGAAGGACAGCCAGATGTGTGTGTGTGTGTGTGTGTGTGTGTGTGTGTGTGTGTGTGTGTGTGTGTGTGTGTGTGTGAGAGAGAGAGAGAGAGAATACCAGTGAGAGCGAGCACAAGCATCACGCCGACCACCAGGCCGGCGACAGGAAATAGGACGTAAATGAGTCGGAGGCGGCTGGACGTCTGTAATTTGTGAGGACATGCGTCCTCACCCATCCTGCTTTCAGTTACTCCGCCGGTAGCCTGATGGCGCACAAAGCAGCAGTGGAGGTTGTTTGGACAGCAACACAATATAACGACAACAGCGCCGAGCATTTATCATCCTGTGAAACCGAAACTGAGCACGAGTGGAAAATGCAAAGAAATGTCTACATTATAAAGTTAAAATGCATGCATGTAAAATCGATTATTTTTTAATTAAATCATTTATTTACATTTTGGTGTTTAAAATTTATGTAACTAGCAAAGTATTTCAAATAAAGATAAAGTATTTTTTTATTGTATTATCATTTATTTCATTAAGTAGGTTCATTCTCATTTTTGAATTGGTCTTTTTACAAAATTGGTCTTTTTACAAAAAACAATTGAATGAAATAATACAGTATGAAGAAACGTTAAGTCTCTCAGTTTTAGTTTTACGTAATAAAGAACAAGCTAAACAATTATTTGATCAAGTAATAAATTTTATGTGCGCAATAAACACTTTGCAAATTTTTAATGAAATGTCTAGAATACAAGGTTTATTTTAGAAATGAACTGATTATGTAATAAAAGGCATTTTAAATGTTTGAAATGGTTTTATTTACGATTATTTTACTTGCAAAATACCAATCTATATAATCAAATAAATACCAGTTTAATGACATCTGTGAAATTTCGGATCAATGAAAATAAAAGTTAACCAAAAAAAAAGAACAAAACTACATTTTAAGAAAACCGGTTCAATACAGGATCCTTGACCAAAGTAACGATCGGTGCTCTCGGGCCTGACGATGCTCACCGATTCCCAAACCGATGACGTACTTACGAAGGGCGGACCTAGACGAGTCTTAAAAGTCACGTGAGGCAATTAGCGCGAGGCAGAAGCCGATCCAGCTGGGCTTTCTGCTTCCGGTTTATTCCTTCCTTCGCTGAAAGCCACGTGGGCGCCTGCGCGCTCGAACGCAAACTCACCGTATCCGTTTCCGCGCTGAAGGTGACTCGCGGCCACGAGAACATGACCTTCCCCTGCCGCCTCGCAGCAACCGACGCGCCAACTGAAGTCTGCGCGGCCGCTGCTGGACCAGCAGCTGCTAGGCCCGCCCCCTCCTCCTCCTCTCCCCCCACCCTCCTCTCACCACGTGACCGCGCCTGGACGTGTCGCGCGCGTGCACGTGACAG